GACAGTTTACACAGCTGATTGTGCTCTGGAAAATATTTTCAAAACTACAGTTTGTAAACCACTGAGAATGGTGTGGGCTTAGATGATATTTAATTGTTGATTAAACGCGAGTTGTTTCATTTAAATGAATTGATTAATCAGATTCACTAGCAACAATGAATATATAATGCCCATCACAGCTGAAGAAATAAACGGGATTATATAATAACATAATACTCAAGATAATGAACATCATTATAGCTCTTTTGATAATGTTTAGTAATAGAGGATAATAAATAATTTATTTATAAATAATACTAAGTAAACCAGGATACAAAGTGTAAAATTATGTTAAAAGGAAAAAGGACCGAATAAATGGTAAATACATTGTTTGTGTTTAATTTTGATTCTTAATGTGAATTAACCAAACCTGCATAGCAGTTTACAATATACACCTACAAAAGAACAAAAAGTTATAAGGTTATTTTAAAAAAAGATCTAAAGAAGGCGGAAAAGCGGATTTAAAAGGAGTTGTAATAAAATAGATCAAAATAGTTTCGCTAGAGTTCCATTTTCTTTTTAATCACTGTTTCCACGTTAGGTATTTTAGGAAGAGGCCATAATTAAACAGTTAAACAGCGGTTTTACACACAGTTGCTCCTGCCAAGATTAAAACACGGAAGAAATAGAGTAAGCACCATATTTAATCTGGGATTCACCCTTTTTTATATTGAATTAACATTTAGTATAATTTCTTTTAGATTTTAATACTAATGATACATTGTATTTCTGTAAATATGTTTTGGAACCTCTATGTTTTATGAGATGGTGGCCGCTGCGGTTATGGGAAAACAACTTTTATTATCTCGTTAAGACAAAAAGATAAAAAATAACACATTAAGAAGTAATATCACATAATCAGTCTTTTCCCAGCACGAAGCCGTAGCCGTATCGAAGGGAAGACATCCAGTGGACCCACTGTATGCATCAACCTGGATACAAAAAAAAAAGGCCCTGTGGCACAACCAAAGTGGAAAACAAGAGTCCTAAATATTATAAGTAATAATAAAATTCAAAATATGAATTAAACTATCTATTTCTTATCATTTTCGTGTTATCAAGATATCTTCATATCTCCTATCAAACTTTATCTATTCATATCTATCATATATCCTTTATCTATCTATCATATCTTATCGTTATCTATCTATATATTTACTATTTATCTATCTATCTATCTAAGAACATCTCAGTGAAGCTCTTCCCTTGTTAAATAAAGTCATATTGATATTTAGAACGTGGAAAACAATCTTTTAATATTAACATGTTTGTAAAAATTCATACTATTTCTGTAACACATCTTTTCCGGTACTTTGGACCTGTTGTCTAAGTAAATCTAATGCACCTGCCATAGAAAATCAAATAAAACCTGCACAGATTGATTGCACAGCAGAGGCTTTTCACTGTTATTTACTGTTCCAGCCAACAATGACTGTGATAACAGCAGCCCAAGCATCTTTACAGTGTGATGCAGACAGAGCGTCAGATGGGTCCATCCCTCCCGGCTCTCAGCCTTTGTCATTGGCCGCCATGCTCTGCTCACTTGTTTGTTTTTCACATCGTTACAGCAGTGCATTGTAAATCAGACTCTCTTTTCCAGCCATGTTTTATCCTCTGACTCTGTTTGCTCTCCCCCTGACAGGATATTTATGGGGGCCCATCTATCCTCCATCAGAGCCTGGACAAGTGACCACTGTGGACTTCCCTGTTCTTTGTCTGAATCCGTGTCACTCATTCAACTGCAGTACCCTCCAGTGTATTTATCTATTACATTTTTTGCTAATAGATTCATGAATTCATCACAAGGAGCATCTGTCACTAGATGGCGCTCTGGTGATGTGCAGCAGGGCTGTCGGCCTCAGCCCTGAGGCCTGACTGTCTGTATTTACCTCATAAACAAAGACACCCAAAGGCTCTTTTATTGACAGAAAACAGTAAAAGAACATCTGACATATTTAATACCATGTTAGTATGTACATTTGTAATGCTCCTTATCTATTAAAGTACGGATCAGCTGTTAGTACAGCACACTCTTACTGAGATTTCTATTGTTTATCTGCTATGTTTTGATTTAGTTCTCTGTGATGCTCATTTCATTTTAAGGTAACAATATGTTTTTAAATATAAAAAATTCATATAAAAAATCATTAGGACTTCCCACTTTCGTGTGTGTCTCCATCCTGTATAAATCTAGAGTCAGTGGTTAATCTGTGATCTTGATCTAGATGAAATACACTCCCAGATTGGCATCAATAGATACTCCAACTTTCTGCCCAGTCATTTCCTGGCCTGAGTTACTGAATCTACTGGTTGGGACTTATACCTCGGAGAACAGGACAGGGCAAGCAGCTCAGTGCTGATCGTTTGTGGTAACCCAATGCGGTAATTACAACTTCCCACGGTGAGTGAAATTAGAGCTCAAAAGGAAAGTGGGATTTCAGGTAGCTGGGGCCGACCTGGGTCATTGTCAGGGCAGAAAAAGCTGAGGGGCCACGGAAAAGATCTGGAGCATGTTCTCAAAAAATGCATTGAACTAATGACAGTTTGGTTTTTCTCTCTTCTCTTGTTTCTGGTGTAAGTCATCACCATCAGCATACACAATCCTGAGGCAGAAGTCTTGAAAAAAGCATTTATTTTTCTGTCAACAATATTCAAATGTTTTGCATACAAAAAAAACAATGAAGATAGTGCATCTGCCGGGATTAACATGATGAAAATCAGTGCTTTTATTAAGTATCACACCAGCATACCCATTTTACATAGAAGGATTATTAATTCTACTGCAGTTTTGTGATCAGATACACAGCCATCAAACACTCCAAAAGGCCTAATTTCACTTCAAATTACACAATCTTGGCTGTAGCCAGGATTTTAGAAAATACTGAGGTCATAGGCCTCATCACTCTCAAGTTCTGACCACAGGTTAAAAATAAAATCTCTTTATTTTTAGAACTATTTTCATATTTTCCTAATTCAGTTAAGCGTGAAATACACTCTGTAAATGTTATTTCCCAACATGAAGGTCTAAATGCTGTTTCAAAGCATTTTTTATATTGCTAGGATAATGATGAACTTATTTATTATTTGGTGACCCTATATAGAGTCTGAAAAGACACAAATTTAAAAACCCCACAATGTTTAAGGTTTAAACTATTTGCTAAATCCCTCCCACAAACAGCGATTGCCCAATCACAGTTTAGCAACCACTGAGGCACAGCAGGCCTGTAAATTATTTGATTTATATGGCTCTATAGCAAGAACTATACTGAAGTTTAGAGGGTGGTGTCCTTTTTTCTAGCCTTTCTAAAACCAAAATCACAAATATACATAATAAACAGTGTTTTCTGCTTTAGCGTCAATCAGTATAACTATCTTGAAGGACCGGTGTTTAGGATTTAGCGGTGAATTTGGAGATTGCAACCGTTTTTCTAAGCATGTGAAGGCTGAGTTTTACAATGAGGGCAGCGAAACTTGCAAAGATGTGAAAGCCCCTAACTAGTCCGAGTGCAGGCGTGGCGGTTCAACATGGTGGCCTCCGTAGAAGAGGACCTCTGTAGATAAAAACAGCTTTTTCTAAGGTAACAAAAACACAACAATTGCTGATTTTACCCTAATTAAAAACATACCTATGAATGTTATATTCAAATTCTACCAATAAATCCTCTAATCCTTTAATGCATTACTTCCTTGGCAAAGGAGCACATCATTAACTAACTAACATTAGTTTGGGGTTACGTTAAAAAAGGCCCAGTTTACTACAGGCACATCCATTGTATAGTATTTATTGTAGTATTATGGTTGCCAGTCCAGACTCCAGTTTGAGTTAATCTTAGCATCTCCGTCCTGTTCTTTACTGGAATTGGGGAAGCTGACACTCATTAACATTACCTGAGATTATATTATGTTTAACACATCTCCTAAAATCCTTTTCTCTTGTAACGCTAAAAGTCAGTCAGTCTCTTTTTTTTCTTTGTTGCATCATATCATGTATGTTGCTATCAAGTGCATATTCAAAACTCCTTTTACAAATGTCTGCTTGAAACATTGAGAAGTCAACCTGAGAGAGTGTTTTCAACCACATAATGGAGCTGTTGGTTTAATTAGCTATCCTAGCTAGCTAAAGCTGATAAAAACCTGCCATTGACGTATCATCAGCCTAAGAAAACAAAGATAGAAGAATAGAATAGAAAAAAGAAGCCTGCTTTTGTCAACCCATTGTTTTAAAAAATCACTAAGAATGATGTTAAACCTGCCATTGTTATCATTGTAAACTGCTTATCTATTGTGCGAGAAAGGAAGTCTGTAAGGGTTGTCAGTTTGCTAAAAAAAATCTTTGTATAAATATAAAGAAGCAAAAAGAAAGGCCATGACCTTGATGACCAATAGCCACAGCCCTGTATACTATTAAATTTATGTTATTTTTGGCGCAGAAACTGTACAAAATTACAAAATGCAATATTCACTCATTTGTCTTTTGACCTAAGGGCTTTTGGCATTTTGAATGCAGTAAACTTTACAATGTCGATAAATAAAGCTTTGATGGAAAATACACCTCCGTTTTTTTAAATTCCAGGAAGTTCCACACCCGTAGCTGCACCCACTTTCTCTGTGTCTCTCTCACCGAACAATAATTAGCATTCCAGCTTGTGTGAGAGTGAGACGTCTGTTTTCCACATCTTAGATAACAATCAAGTGTCTGCATCCTGCACCTCCACGATGACCCTGATGTTCAGAGTTGTCTTTTGTGTAGGTGTCCTCTCCAGTGTCATTATGTCATAGCACGGCTGCACAGAAAACGCTCTGCATCTCAGTTTACTGAACCGGCACTACGAAGATTTCTATCTTAAACCAGCATTAACCAGCATTTAGATGTGACCTTCCTGGCATTTTCCAAACAATATGCACATTTTAGTATGTGGCATGAAACATGAGGAAGCGCCTGTCCTTTAATCCTTGCTTAACAATGACATACATAAATTTAGACTTCTCACCTAAGCTTTACATTCCACATTTCACATTGAATTAACTGTGAGCATTGCGATGGGATTAGTCATTGTTCAGCACCTACGTTTCTGGATGTGCAGCTTTAGGTGAAGGAGTCCGATCCAGAACATCCTGTATGCAAGTCAAACTGGTTTGCATTTAACAATTACACTTGGGTGAGGTAAAAGAAAGCACATACTAGAGCTTGCTTGACGTATAAACACAGTGATTAAAAATACGTCTCTTTGTAAAAAGATGTGAAAACAACAAGAAGAGTATATTTGCATGGAGTGCAACATTAAATAGAATAAATGTATTTTGTGCCTTTAAAATTACTAGTTTTTTCCAAAGAGAAAAAAGGGGGCCTCCCTTTCAAACCGTCACTGCGTTCCTCAGGTCCCACAGGAAAAGCGCCGGATTAAATCACTTCCTCTTACATTGTGATACCACAGCGGTGGGACCAGGCTGTCTCTATGTCAATAGATAACACACATACACTGTCTCTCTTTAGTGCATTTAAAGGAATAATTTGACATGTTGGGAAATACGCTGCGCCGCTTTCTTTTATGAGAGTTAGACAAGAAGATAGATACAACATTACATATGAAGCCAGGAGGTGATTAGCTTAGCTTAGCATAAAAATAATTGGAAGCAGAGAGAAACAGCTACATTGGTTCCTCTAAAGTTAAAAGTCTGCCTGCAAACACCTCTAAAGGCGCGGTCACAACAGTGATTAAAACTGTGTAATTTTATGGCAAAATCTGTTATTTCAAATGGAATTCCAAAAATCTTTCAAGCCTGTTCAGTTTGGCACCAGCACGCATTTTGTCAGTCGAATCTCTTGCACCTTTGTTTTTTAGCTGCCCCATTGTACACATAGTGACAGCATGTAAACTAACAGAGTCTAAAAAATGACCATAAACCAGAAAACTAATTGTGATGGAAGCAGAGAAGAGTGATGGTTAGACAACGTGAAGCTGGACAACAGGGCAGCGGCTGCTCTGACACTGACTGTTAGTGAAGTTGGCTAAACCACTTTTGAACCAGACAGTTGTGTAACCTCCTCTACTGTCGTCCTCTGTGAACACTGCAGCAACCTGATATAAGAGACGGACACTACATGGTGCGCTGAGATTTTATAACAAACTATAAGCAGGACGCACACTTTAATTTTGTCCGATCTGTGACAGATGATGATAAAGACATTAAAACGTGAGGTAGGCTAAAATATGTAGCTGCCCGGAGTTTAGAGTGGCACTGAAAAAAGGAATATATGGTCAAAGCTTCGTATTTAACAACCAAATCCGATTCGACTGGCAAGATTCTGAGTGGGGTACAACCCCATTGGTACTGCTGACCTTTGATTGAATGGGGAGCCCAAACTGAAGGAAGCTACCCTAGCTTAGTAGTTGTGTTGCACCATCCACTTCTATTTAACCGCATCTGTGAGAGTACAAAATAGACATAGACAAACATGTGAGTCGTGCAGATCTTCTCATCTGATTCTCATAAAGAAAACGAAAGTGTAATTCCCAAAATGCTGAACTATTCCTTTAAGATGGTGTCACGAGAGGTTGATATTCTCATACTCGCCATGGTCCGAGTCCTCCAGCTCGATACCGGGCACCAGGCTGTAGTATTCAGTGGACTGGGTCATGTAAGCCTTCTCCCTGTCAGCTGAGTCTTTCATCACTTCTGTCACGCTGACTGTGTCCAGCTCTGCCTTGCTGGCCCCGTCCGGCCCCTGGGAGCCCAGCTTGCCGTCTGTGGAGCTGGAACAATGTGAGGAGGCTTGAGGAAGAGACTCCACTGAGCCCAGCTTAATCTCCACCTCTTCATAGATGTCCCTGGTGCTGCCCAGGAGGGTGGATGCTGGGCGTAGCAGCAGCTCGTTCTTCAGGATCCCCTCACTGACAGCTTTGTTCTGCCCGGTGGTCGCAGGTTGCTGCTTTTTACGATGCTTCTGGCCGTTGCTGCTGGAGCTGGAAGCCCTCTTCTTTGAGGTGCTCACAGGTGCTTCTTTCTTCTTCCTCTTCCTCCCACAGCACCAGCAGAGCACCAAAGCGGAGAGGATGAGAAGAGGGAGCACAATAAAGAGTGCCGTGAGGGCAGCTGGGCGGCACACATCGCTAACCCGCACCGACAACACACTCCTTCCGGCCAGGTGCCGGGGATACATGCAGGTTAAGTTTCCCACCAGATCCTGAAGCTTAGTGGTCCTATTAACCTTTCTGCCTTCCTCCAGTCCTTCCAGTAACAAACAGGAGCAATCCCAGGGGTTCCCATCCAGCTCCAGCCTTTGCAGGCTGGGCTTCTGTAGTACAGAGCCTGGGAGGAAGCGTAGCTGGTTTCCTTGCAGATACAGCTTCTGGAGGTTGTCTGAGTCCTGAAGAAACCCCTCAGGAAGCTCCTGAATCAGGTTCCCGCTCAGATCCACCTCTGTCAGGCTGGGCTGGCTGGCCAAAAACTCCTCCGGCAACGTTGTTAGTCTATTATGACCTAAGTAAACCTTTTTCAACGTAGAAGCCTCTTTGCCTCTCATATCTACAGAACTGATATTACAGAAGGAGAGATCCAGAGTCTCTATTTTTGTCACATTGGTAAACACAGACCAGAGCACGGTGCTGAAAGCAGAGCCAGAGTAGTTCAAGCAACAGCCGCCAGCAGGAACCTCAGAGGGAGACTGGGACAAAATGGTGGCTGCTGGACACACACATCCACCCACAAGTCCCGTCTTCACCAGCAACATGAGAATCAGCAGAGCACCCTGCTGGCAAACCATCTCTGAAACAGAAAATACAGTAAAACATAGAACAGAAAATGTGACAAGCCATATTGCAAAGGTGTCCTCTACCTCTTTCTCAGACAGCCCTACCTGCCTCCTGATCCCTCTCTCTCTCTCAGTACTGGAGAGGATCCACTTACAGTATGTAGGCTCACACAGATGTAAATGGGCTTGTAAACCTAGCAACTTCTCTGAGGACTCCTGGTTGCTGTGAGGATTGTGGGAGTTGGCATGGTGACACAGGTCACTAGGGATCAGGAGTCCAGTGTTTGGCTGTTGGAGAGGAAACAGATGCTACTTTGACTTTCATGTGAAGGCTGTGCCGTTAATTGGCAGATTGGGATAATACAAACATTGCTCGAAGGTAAAGCCGGAGCCTTGGTCAACAAGCTGTTTTCTATATAACTGCAAACTCCTCAAGCCTGATGTAAAAATGCACCAGATCATTTAATAAACCTGCATCTTGGGAAAGTATTTGTTCACTATGCAGCCGCTTATAACTTGATATCATATCACTCTATATGGCTTTGCTTGACTTGACTTTTATTGTTTTATCACTCTCTGAAGCAATGTGCTCCACACATAAACTTAATTGAGTTAAAGCCAGAATCAGGGCTCCAAAACCCACTAAAAGAATTCAAACCACCCTCACTCTCAGATTTACTGACAGGTCTTTGAATACATATATTAGAATAGGAGATAATGCAGTTTTATTGGTCAACAGAGTGTAAGATTGTCTTTATTTCACCAAAACATAGAAGCACATAGAAGAAATGTGATAACAGGCAACCATAAATCAATAAAATACGTATGCAGTATACACCGATCAGCCATAACAGTATCTAACTGATTATCTCGTTGTGAGTGGGTTGGATGAGTTATATTAGGCAGCCAGTGAACATGTTGTCCTCATATTGATATGTTAGAAGCAGGAAAAATGGACAAGCATAAGGATTTGAGCGACTGGGCAAGCAATTGGACAGGCCCTGCTGCGACAAAATCAGTGCGTCCCCCCCTGCTTCGTACTGAATCCATGTCGAACCCAAACCCGATGTTTGGCATTAAGAATAACCATACAGAAATAGCCAATCTCCTCGCTGATGGGTTTGTTTGTTTATGTAGGTCATGAGGCATCAGTATTAAATGGAGAGTTTCATAACTAGTTAAAAACTCCTTGTAGTACCTTTGATGGAGCCGTGTGCCTTGGATTTTTGGAGAAAATACATTTCTGCTTTTGTGAATTCAACTTACTACTATAAGTCAATTAACTCAAGAATGAAAAAAAATTACTTTTAACATAGAGATTTTACATACATAGATGGATGCATTAATAGAAAAATGGTAGGATGGACCTAGAACGAACTTTACTTGACTTTGCTTTATTTATCAGGGACATGAAAACACTCATTTTCATTTGCATGTGTACAGTGGAATACAGTGTAAATTACGAGGTTTGATAACGTCCCAGAAACAATGTGAAACTGTTTAATTTCACTGTAATTTCACATAGAAAATGCCGCTCCATGACTATTTTAATCTCAGGTTTCATTGCTACCGTGAGTGTCTAGTTGGGAGGCTGTGACATGACAACTTTGGGGAACGCTGCTGTTGGAGACATAAAAAAACAACTAATTGCTGGTGACTTCCTAAAAGCTCCTATGTACTTGGTGACGCTGCCTGCACATAAAAGCGTATGTGGTCGATACAAACAAGGCCTGTTTTTTCCAAGAGAGGGAGCGTGTTTGGTCGTGACATCAGTCCTCCTCACCCACCACAACAGAGCTGAAAGCGGCTCCACAGTGAGGAGGCAGGAATGTGCTAACTCCTCAACAACAGGGTCGGTTCAATACAGTGGAGGGTTTAAAAGGGAACCACTGTCGTCAGCTGCAGCGTTTACGTGATCATCTACACTTTTTATTCACCAATAAAACCTCACTTCACCTGTGTGTTAGATTAATTAAGGAACCTTTTAAGCAAACAGGCCAAAAAAATCCACTGGTTTTCATAATGTGATGATTGGTGGTAGGAAACTGAATGTATTGATATTATTTAAAAAAAAAAAACATTTGAAGACATCGTCTTGGGCAAGAAAATAAATGGGAGATTGAATCATGAAAGTAAGACTGGACTGGACTGTTGGTTTGCACAAAATAGGACATTTAAATATGTCAGCTAGACTCAACAGTTAATCAGCTGAGTAAAAAATCCAGCCATTTACCATCACCATGTTAAACCATTTTAGTTTAGCTTGTTAGCATGCTAACATTTGCCACACTGGTGGAAAGTAACTACAGTAAGTACATTTACTCGAGTACTGTGGCCTACTACAGTACAATTTTACAGTACTTGTACTTAAGTATTTCCAATTCATGGAAATACAGAATATTATAAATAAATAAAATATGATGTATTATGACAGTTTAAGCTTTGTAGCTGTACATAAATGAAAGTAATTAGAATCAGTCCCATCTTCAACATTAGTGTGATATGTACTCTAATATATTAATAATTATAATCTAAGGAAAATATTATTCTGATGGATGAAAAGTACTCATTCTTCATAATGAGTACTTTAACTACTTGGTACTTTAAGTATATTTTGATGCTGTATTTTCAGTGTGGTATTGATACTTTTACTTATGTAAATGAGCTGAGTACTTCTTCCACCACTGTTAATGTAATGTCATTAGTCCAAAGTACTGGACAAATGTTGACCTGATGATGGCGCTAGAATAAAAGGTTAGTAAAAGGCGTCATAAAGTCTGTGAGCCGAGCTGGACTGAGCATATAGCAGAAAACCTATTTGGATTAAATTTACATTTATGTGAAAAGTGAATGGGAGCTTCAAACAAACGATAAACACGGAAATAAGAAGAGCACATGTGTATTTTCACTTGATTGCAGAGCTGCAAGTCTCTCAAACAAATGCAGGAAGTGTGCTAAAGGAAAGAAACTTTGCCTCGAGCTGACTTTTTGTTGTTTGTAGAAGTGATCTAATATATCCACCATGTGGAGAGTGCAGTGTATATTGTAAGTATGAAGAAGACTGTATTATGTTACCCATATTTATTTATATTGCCTTGAAACATTGTCCCAAATAATAATCTCAGATTTTTTAAATTCTCATATTTAAAGCCAACACACTGCGATATGTCTATATGACATAGAAGGCAGGCCTTCCAATCCGGGCTCAGAATGTGATATAGTTTACATTTCCAGCAGTTTGTTTGTAATAAATATCAGAAGACCTGGGCGGGTTGGCACGAGCGACAGCAGCCACCATAGCTGAACAAAGAACAGAGCTCTCTCATGAAGAGAAATCTAATGTCACAGTCCAATCTGGTGACGACAACACGAAATGAGGATCTCGTAGATTAACATCAGAACAGAAAGTCATGGATTGGAAGCGTTTGATCTTCGCCGTCTATTAACACATAGCCAAGTACAAAACAAAGTCATTTAAAACCTGAGTGACGAGTTATAAGTATAATTTATACTGAACATCCTGCTGAAAACTGTGTGCCTGTTTACCGCATTAGCTGCAGTTAAATGTCCATTACTTGGCGGTGAGAAGCGACAGTGAATTCAAAGAGGGGAAACCACCTTTAGAAATCATGTGACATGCCTGGGGAAAAAAGTAGAGACAGTTACTGAACATCGTTGTAGCCTATTGTATGTCTTTTAAAGGGACTTAAGACTAAAGTATGTTTCCATGCTAGTGAGGCAGTCCCTCCATGGTTTTGCAGGCTTTTTTGGGGATTGTTGCAGCCTAAAATGTGTGATTTCACTACAGCTTTTCTAAAACTTTGCAATGCATGTTGCGATGTTTTAAGGAATTTTTTAAAAATCGCTAGTAGTTTTGTGACGTATGGCTCAGAGACTGCTGATTGGACAATTTCATGGAGGGACTGAAAGGTTGCCTGGGGTAAAGTGCCTTAAAGCTGCAATAACTGACTTTATGGCCACTTGGGGGCAGCAGAAACAAGCTGTGAACACGAAACACGAAGCTAGCTTTGTCCGTCTGCTGTGAGATGTCGGACAGGTAGTCGAGTTAGGTAATGTCAGTTTTTAGAGCTGACTGCTGGCTGCTGGAAATAACACAAGAGCTGCGAGAGTGAACCAAAACCAAACTTTATTCCTTCTGTGATGTTGTTTGGTTAGTTTCTGTAGTGAAAACCTCCTCCTCAGAAAATAGATAAAGAAAGGCCATGTTTGTCTCAAGGGAGGTCATGCTGGGTGAAATGTATTTATAAAGCAGCCTTAACAATCACTGAACACTTTGAAGATTGCTATAGTTGAATGTGTGATAAAAACATGAAAGAATGTTACTCCTTTATATGTTACTCCTTTATAACTTTAATCTCAAACTATGAACTGACCCCCTGTAATGCTCTGTGTTTATTGATAGTACAGAGAATTTTATATCCTTTAACTCTGTAATTATTTGCATGCTGCACTGCACTGTGAAGAAGCTTTTGTTCTAACTGATAGCTATCAACAGACGATATATTCAAAGCTCGACCCCACCTTTCCCCCTGAAGAGAAAAAGGAAAAATGTGACGTTGCGTGTTGGTAATAATTTGCTTAGATTTGGATACTTGGGGTCAAAAGTGTTCACAACTTTGTAGCAGCAAAGTTAGGATGAAGTCAGGCCTTTTGTATGTGTTTCTAATCCCATGCATTCACCAGTTAAGATAACTTAAAGAGTCAAACTCCCATCTCAGCCTGATAACAAACACAGTCTAACGGTTAAAGTCTCTTTATAAATATTGACAGCTGAGTTAATCTTTGGATTTTTAAACTACACACACAAGACAAGAGACACTGGCAGCCGTTTGCAGAGGCTCCGAGCCAGAGCGGTGAGAGTGAAGGCCCTTCATCCAAACAGAAGGATTTTCATGGACCGTCTCCTCTCTGGGTGTGAGTGCCCAGCAAGAGGAGCAAGGTTTTAGTCTGGAGAACATGGATGATCTCACTCGTTAACAATGTGAGTTGCTACATCCTCTCTGGCAGCAGAGCTTCCTCTGTAATAACGGTCTCCATTCTCCTTTCATACAACTTCTCATCATAAAATATTCCTACATTAAACCAGAGCTGCAGCTGCAGGAGCACTGAGGTATCCAAGTGTCCCAAACAGTGGAAAGTTGTCATGTTTTAAAGGCTGATTCTCTTATTTTATATACTTAATAGCATTAAAATGTACAAATTTACGGTTAAGAACACACAAATAAGTCATCTTTTAAACAGCAAGTTCTAAAATAAACTTTACAGAACATAAACTTAGACTTGAAAGAAGAAATAAAATGTATAAAAATCCAGTTGATAAGAAAATGTTATGCTCTCTTTGCTGTCTGGTCACATTTTCTGAGGAGGGGCTGGTGCTGCACTGGGGGGCCCATAGCCTCTATATTATTCAGTATGGCTACAACTCTGAACAAAACACACCAATAATAACACAATTTCAACTCATAACCCACCAGAACTACAGAACCCGCGTGAATAAGTACAAACATACAGATAAGCATTTAAAAATATGAATGCACACCTGTTTTCAGATGTGTGTTTTCTTACCTGTGATGGGCATCCCTGCTGCAGCTCTCTGTCAGAAGAGACCTGACACCCACAACGACGGCAGCGGCGTCTTTCTCCTCTCTGCATCCCATCAACTGTCCCGGTTAAAGCTCTCCTCCTCCGGATCTGAGGGTGTGTCTCCCTCCGGGCGGAATGTGGAAATACAGCCTCCAGACAGTGTGTGTGTGTGTGTGGGGGGGGGGGTGTTAATGGTAGTTTATTTATACACAGTGTTCAGTGCGTTTATCTGCGACTGAAGCTGACAGATTTGAGCCTCTCTGAGTTTCAGTATAAAGTTTAACTGACCTGTTGCAGGGATGTTACCGCAGAGCGCCCCCCGGTGGCTGAAATAAGCCTCTCACCCAAACTCTCAGAAGAGTTTGAAGGTTTATTTATCAGTGGTGGAAAGTAAGTGAGTGCATTTAACTGAGCTTTTTTCTTTTTATTGTTTTGTTTTTATGATTTTTGTTTGTCTAAGTGTTGCTCTTGTTTCTGTTATTATTGTGGAAAAATAAGAAAATCCAATATAAATATTGTCCAAAAGAAAAGTACATAAACTCAATCACTATACTTAAGTACAAATTCGTAGTACTTGTACTTTACTCGAGTATTTCCATTTTATGCAAATTTTCCATCTCAGAAGTAAATGTATGCAGATCTATTTGACAGCTTTAGTTACTGGTTACTTTAAGATTACAATTTTGAGTTCCACTTTATTTTGACAGTCCTCCTACTGATAGTTTATAGAGTTTTTTAGAGTATGGTTATCTATTGAGAGTTTAAGTTTCTCGTAGATACTTAAATTATTTGTTTATCCAAGTATATTCATGTATAGATCTGTATATTTTTGTTTTGATACATCCAGATACTTTTATATACTGATTTGATGTTTTTGAGATTTAACAGTTTTATAGTCCTACTTAAAAAAAAACAAATGACAAATAAACTGAAATTTCACTAGGTTTTACTAATTAAAATCATTAGGAAATAAATGTCAGCAATTATAATAAGTTTTAATAACCAATGTTTAAATCAAAAGCAGCCAAAACTCACCTGCAGCAATGTAACAATTTATCATAGGAATATTATAGTCCTATTTCTTTGGGCTATTACTGAACTTAGTAACTGTTCAGAAAGAAAAAATGACCTTGACTTTATATCAAAATAACCTTTCTGTACCTCTGCTGTTGTTCTACATCTATGACCAATAGATGGCGGTATTGACCAGCATTCAACAAGTTAAAAACATACCTTAAGCATAGATTTACTGCTCTCCTCCTCTCAGCTGTCTAATAGAGAAAAAAGCCCCAGGAAATATCAGGATTTACTGCATTTCTTTGTCATATATGATAATTTAGTCAATATATTTGTGAAATTTTCTACAACAATTAATTGATTAATCCAGAAAATGTGCCCCAAAACTACCAAAAAAACAAACATATAAAAACTGATTTTTGTTTTTATTTAGATATAAAAGACAGGTGCATTTTATACAGTCTATATACACTGTTCAATGACAACAATAAGAAAACTCTGAACTGCTACAAAATCAGTGTAAACATTTTCTGGTTGGTCATTTTCTTAAAGTCTCTGTGATAGAGACAGAAAAGAGTGCAGAGAACTTGCTGTAAACAATGCACACCTCCCTCTCTGAATATAACACTGATAGAAACTATACAACAGACATGTAAAGGCACTGTGCTGAAGCAACAAAAGAAAACAATATAAAAAAAAGAGATTATGCTACTGCCTTGATCGTTGTTACATTACACATATTGAAACTTAACCGTTGGCACCTCTGACGATACATTTTAGTGCAGTTGTGTGGTTTTCTGTGTCAGTTTATTCGTCCCAGGACTCATCCACATCGACCTGCTCTGTGCCACAGACTGTGTTTATTTACAGTCAGTCAGACCCTTGGTGGCAGCACTGCTCCAGTTTTACTGCAGCTACCTTGTGTGCAGCTGATAAATGTAGTTAACAAGCAGTTGGAGGTTTCTCAATGACACTTTGGTTGCGATGTAATTTGGCTGCTGATAAACAGCCTTCGAGAAATAGTTTGACACACGGGTAAACCGACTTATTTGCTTTCATGCAGAGAGTTAGATGAGAATATTGATACCGCCCCAGCTGCCAGACTCATGGCTCAGACCAGACGTACCTCTCACGACACCTCAGTTTTAGCCTCTTTGTTCTGGATATTTCTTTTGAGAATCCATTTTTAAAACTGTTTTCACTACTTACAGGGCATTATAAGGCTGCCAGGGCAAATTAGTCAACTTTTAACTCCTTACTGTCCCAAAAGACTTGCTGGTTTGGATCTTGTTGCTGTTCCAGAGTCCATGTTAAGGTCAAAGGGTGATCGAGCTTTTGCTGTACTGGCGCCTTGGTTCTTGTATTCGGTCTGCTGGCACTGTCTCAGCTTTTAAATCTTTCTCGAAACATATTTATAGTCTTGCCTTCTTATCTGCAACTAGACCTGTTTGTTTGTACATATCAGTTATGTTAATGACAGATTTTATGGTAGTATTTTTACTAGCTGTTTGTTTGTGTAACTGTTTTACTAAACTTTATTCCCCTTATGGATGATTTTATATGTTGTCTTTTATGCTGTTGTTCAACAGTTGTGTAATCAAGAAATAGCCCCACACATCAACCTCTGTATTTTTACACATAGTTTTTGTACAAATTAGAGATATATCATGTTAATTGAGGCCTAGAGTTACTGGTTGGTGCCTTTAGACAGAAGCAGACTAGCTGTTTCCTCCTGTATGCTAAGCTAACTGTCTCTTGGCAGTAGCTACATTTTCAGTAGGAGCAAAGTCCTCATCTAACTCTCGGCATTAAAACAATAAGCACGTCTCCAAAAATGTTAAATTATTCCCTGCTCTATTGCTTGGACTGCTTGATGCAACTCGTTATCCATTACAACAGAATGGTTCCCAACCCTTTTTGGCTTGTGACACCTTAGAATAATGCTACTTGCCCAAGGAAGAAAAAAACTATCTGGTATTTCACACAAAAAAAGCAACAATTAAGAGAAAAAACAAACAGAAATGTATAGATTGTGTGACGTAAAACTGTGTTGTTTTGGTCTTTGGTATCTTCTTAATCATCTTTTGAGCCCGTATTTCATGTCCATGTTGGGAACCACTACATCATAAGATCCCACTCTGACAGATATTGTTTTAACATTTCCTGTAGGCGAAGCTGCTGTGGATGAAGAATTACACTCACTGGTTGAGTTTAACATCCGTGGCAGAGCCAGAGAACCAGTTACATGACTTTCCAAATAGCTCAAACTAGCTCATAGCTCATTCTATCCAGATCACAAATGCTGTGGTCATCTCTGAATAATAAAGTCACTGCTATTTACATTCATAATTTGACCAGATTTCCTCTTTGGCAGTTCATGTTCGTGCAATTTTGCACTTTGGTTTGTACCATTAAAACTTCCACTGGCATATTTGTCTCATTGAATATACATTATATTATTGTTGTGATTGTCTGCCGCCACACATATTGGCTGCCTTTTGTCCATAGCAGTGATTCTGATTCCACTTTTCTTTTGGTATCATGAGTCTAGGTAGATGGAATATATCTGGTTGAGGCAGCGGTCGACGCCTCCCGCCTGGAAGAGGAAGCTGTCGTCTGAGCAGGGAGACATGGAGTAACCGCCCCCCGCCTGGCCCTGCAGGTCCTGCAACAAGTCAAACCCTGAGAGGAGGAGAACAGAAAATTTATATATTTAATATATCACAGCAGCTACTTTATTTTCATGTGGAAGAGTGGGGATGCAGTTATTTCTCTCAGCTATTTTTTAATCATCATAATTAGTTACCTACCTTAGGTTTTGTGTTTTTTAAAAAAAAAAGACCTCAATAAATCAATCTGTCTTTTTTTGTTTTGCAACCAGGTGACATAGTTTTTAAAGTCAGACACACAGTACAACTTAGACTTATTGTATAACATTCAAAGAATGGATAAAGCCAGTCAAGTTAAGAAAATGACAGAAAAAACAGGCCTACATTAACAGTAATCCATCCAGCTAGTTCACCTACATACCTGCCAACACTCCTGTATTTTAAAGCAATCTCCCACCACGGTTCAGTTCTGTTGTTTCTCCCAGGAAATTCCCATAATTTACACGGCCCCTCAAAATCTATAATAAATAATCTTCATACAGAGATTAATTCGTTTTATATGTTTGTCTCACATCATTCAAATTGCCAAATCACCCATGAAACACAATCTACACACTAAACACAATTTCAGCCCATGTGTCACCCACAGACAGATTCAAACCACCCACATTATGAATCCTAAACGTTGGCAGGTATTTTGTCTGGTTCTTAAGTTTGTACGATGATATGAAAAGTGTTTATAGTTTTTTCCGAACAGCCACACTCAAAGGTGAAGTCATCGTAGAGAAAGGGGAAACACGATAAATATGGGGATATATGGGGAGCACATTATCAGACAGTTTGTCCTGTAAGGCTTTCTTAGTGACGTACTTTAGTTGTTCTTATAGAGATAGAGAGAGAAGTTCAAACCCTGGCTCCTCGCTGGCCAATCACAGCGTAAAGTGGGCGTAAACGTCAGATTGTCTGTATCAGAAAGTTATACGAAACAAGCACTTTTATTGGAGCATAAGGACGCCTTTACTCTTAGTTATTGCTGTCTTACCTGTAGAGTGAGAGGCGGGGGGGTTTGTGAAGTAACTGGCTGGTTCAAAGCCTCCATCACTGACCGGCTGAACCACCTTCCCTTCTCCATACACACATCCTTGGAGAACCACAGAGGAAACGATGAATGTCAAGAACAACACCAAAAACAAGCAGGCAGTGTATGTGGCACCGATTTGGTGAGGCTGATGATGTTGACGCGTGCGCAGTGTCAGTACCTTGCTGCTGTGAGAATACTTGTTGATGGTTGTAGGTTTTTTGGTAGCCCTGCAGCTGGTCCGCTCTGTCTGATGAGGAGCTCGCTGGGCTGAACAACGACGTTGGTCTGTTCCTGTTGGCAACACAAGGCCACAAAGCTGAATTACTTCACCCAACATCGACATTTATGTACACAGAACACTTATACATACATTATTTTGTGACTTTGTGAGCAGCTCTGTCCTTCTTGGATTTAAGAAAGTTTGCACTACAACTAACACCACAGCCAAAATTGTCAAAATCATTTTAAAACAGCTTAAAACATTCAGATGTCAGCTAAAGATGTTGTTGAACCAACTTATTAGCTTATTTAAGGAGCTAGCAAACTAAATCTGCTCGCGACAGTTAAAATGGTCGATGGTCACAAGAAGCTGCTTTACTCGACCTCCGCCTGAAATCAAGGGCCAATAATATGTTTCAAAAATGACTCGGGATTTTGATGGTATATCTGCTAATATTATTATGAACTTATGAACAGAAAAGCTTGACAGGCATAGCAACAGTTGCTAAGGGCCGAGCCGACTGGTTCCCCCTTATCTCCGGTCTTTGTGCTGAGTCCATTTACCCTTACAGTAATAAGTGGGGCATCAATCAACTCATCTAACTCTCAGCAAGAATAGCTAATAAGCCAGCTATTCCAAAAACAAATTTTGAGACCAAACAAGGCAACATTTAAGATGACAGATTTGGTCATTTAACTTTAAAAGGTGGATGAAAGACAATAAAAGCTCCTTGACGACTGACATGTGACTGACACAACCCGGTTTAATTTCTATGATAATGTCTTTGTTTTTTTACTTTTTTTCCCCAGTTGGCTTGAACTTGCTGAACTGTTTAAGGTTTCTGACTTCAGCATTTCGTAAGCCTTATTAACCTCACCGCATATTTCTGAGTTCCACCACTGAGCCAAGGACACTTATGGTGCTGGTGTCATAACAAAATTATTAGTAACGTGACAGCTCACCAGAAGGTCTTACAATTTCAAAACAACACATTTTAAATGAAATATAATAGGCAGCTTTGGGCTCACTTTTTTCTCTTCGCAGATATATTTTTTCACTCTTCTTACTTGTTTTCATTCATTTAAATTACTTAGATAATGAATTTTAGAAGAAAATCTTGGGAGACTGTAAGTAGAGTTATTTAAAACTAGGTTTCGCTCAAGTTTAACACAAATCTCTCATTAAATTAAGCCCAGACCAAGAGTTTTACAGTCATTCATACTGATAACCATTAGCAGGCGATGTGGCAGCAGCTGTGTTATCACAGACAAACATGTAAATACTTAAGCTTGTGTGCAAACAGTACAGTTTATAAAAGGAAGCGTTTCCACCGCGCGGTGGGGGGGCGGGCTTAATGTAGGCGGGCTTTGTGTGGAGCTGTATCCATCGCTACGCTGCAAGAATGTGCTGACTGTGCACAAACACTCTGACTCAACATGGAAACGAATGAGTCAGTGGAGCCAAGTCGACGAGAAGAAAGAAAAGGCAGCAGAATATCTCTCCAAGGAGATATGCAGCTGAAACCCCCCCAATATGGTATTTGAACCCCCCCCCCACCAACCTCCTCCTCCTCCTTCAAAGAGCTTGGTCTCAGCATTTCATGTGGCCTGAGAACTCTCCGGGATGATGTACTGTAGCATATTGGTCCCCAGGGAGCCAAATGGCCTTGGTTTCTGCTGGAAGGGTTTTAGTGGGCTTCATAAACAAGCCAGGCCTTGTCAGAGATACTGATGGCTGCAGGCCCAAGTGGCTTCTATATTTTCATCTGACCAGCTATAAAAAAAAAGGAAATGTTTGGAGATTTCTTTACATATCTATCATTTATCATCCCCAGGTCTCTTTATTACCCATTTCCCATGTCAAATGCTATTACATTTAATTTAACAGTCTCTGCTTTCAGTGGAGAAACACAATAAAAGCCAAAATTAATCAGAAGGACTTTTTGAAACCCAAACTGATATAACTTACAGATGGCTGTGGCTTCCCAAGGTAATAAAGACCAGGCTTTGTATAAGATTATGTAAACAAAGGGGGCTTTGATATAGTGCGACTGCTGAAGTGAATGTGCTGCGATGACTGCGAGCCCCAAGAATTCAACACTTCTCTGGATTCCCCTCGGTGGCCCCAGAACCATCAGAGCTGACCTTAACTATAAACAACCGCGTCTGTTCCACGGCTTACATTCTTGCGACGCTGCAACAACATAGCTGAGATGTCTGAGCCGTGCCGTTGCGCGGCCCTGCTGGGTCGATCTGTCGTTTTGTGGCCGCTGTGCCCAAAACGTTTCAGATGCATGAGCTTAACAGTGAACCCCCGCCTGAGGGAGCGGCTGTCAGCACGACCTCAGGAAACTGTTTCTCTGATCATATTTTACCGACTAAACCCCTTCATCGGTCACTTTTTTTTCTCCCCTCCTCTTTCTAACTAACTACAGCCAGCTGCCCGCCATATATCTGGAATGAGAAGAATCCTGCTAAGCTCTTATGTTTATATGCACATTATACTGTACGTAACCCTGCTTTGATTCATGGCTACTTTTTTAATAGCACAGCACACTTGGACGGGATCGGAGGAAGGGATGAGTAGGTTTACCAGAGGTGCCAGCTTGGGCACACAAAAATGATCTGTTTTCAGTTTTGGCAGAGGAAAGAGTATTTTCTGTGATATAGATTTACTGGATCACAGAGGATCATGTTGAATGTATGTAATACAGATGGAGACTTACTGTGATCTAAGCGCTACCAATCAAGCACTTAGAGAAACTAGAGTAGACTTATTGCATGTTAGAGATACAGTAAAAGCAAAAATGTGTGGACATGTCAAACATTTCAGTTAAACCGGCTATTTGGATCCGATGTCACTCGGAGCTTCTGCAAAGTAAACTTTGTTACTTCTCTTCCCTTCAAATTGTATAATAGCGTTTCTGTGTGAGAGCCATCCTGGTTAGTGCGCCTGTATCTGATGGACGCGCCGCTCCAAAAAGCCAATCCAGCTCTACTCCAATCCTCCCCCTCCCCCTCGACCACAAAACACACAAACACTGCACATCACAAATACTCGCTGATGGACAAGCCTTAGCGCAGGCCTCTGAATCCCCTCAAGTATTAAATAATTAAAAGAAGTCAAAAAGGCTCGTCTCAGCCAGAGTAAACACGCGCCTGGCTATGAGGTCAGAGCTCGATGCCGGCTGTGCTGTGAAGCAAAGATAATTTACTTTCACGTGTTTAACGTCTCGCTAAGTCATTTGGGGGAAAAACAAGTGCTTGTCTGGTATTGGCTTTGGCAGGCCGTTGAGTACTGCGGGCACCAGTGGGATTCTATGACATCCTCAGTCTCTATAAAGAGACGTCAATGGACAGATTGTGCATAGCTTCATGGAAGCTCTGGCTGCGAACTTTGAGGAGATGGAGGCTGAGAGATGCTGCATTTAGGCAAGCAGACACCAAAACTCTTCTTACCTGAACATCATATTAAAGGATTTTTGGTGTGTTCATATATAGATTTGCTTTGTGAACTTCAAATAACTTTACATTGGTTAGTTTTACACCGAAACATGATCTACAAATCCAGGTTTCAGGTCTGCACACTTATAGTTTATAACAATATAAGGCAGTGGTAGCACTACAACTTTTTTGGATTTGTGTTCAGAAAGGAAAAACCCATCTTAACAAATCCATTGAAAATGGAAATACTGGATAAATGGAAATACTGGATAAATGTAGTTTATTTATTTATATTTTTTTTTACTTTAAATTGACATTAGGTAGTTTAAATCTCAACATTATAATCTTAAATCCTTAATTTTGCATTATTTACATAAATGCATTTTCCTCAATCATCTGAATGCATGTATTATAAATATTAAAAACCATAATTTTCATTTTCTTCAACCAAAAAAATGTCAAACAAAACACCACCAACATTTAAGGCCTGTTTGAGCACTGCACACACGGTAAAAAGATTTACTTATGCAGCAGCTTCATAGTCTTCAGACCAAATTAAAAGTGCTGTACACTACATGCCACATTCAACCCATTCACACAGTGATGCTCAGCATCTTGCTCAAGGACACGTCAACATGCAGGAGGGAGGAGCCGGGGATTGAACCTATAACCTTCTGATTAGTGGACCTGCCGCTCTACCTCCTGAGCCACAGCCCCCAAACCAAACATACATGGTTACACTGAGCAACAATATGATGCAGTTTCATTACTGACACTTTACAGGATCCCCTTTTTATATTTCTACTCTTTATATTTCTTACTGGAAGTTTTCTGCACCATGAAGGCCATGAGATGAGGCTGAAAGTAAGAAAGACCTCGAGATACAAAGCTGTTGTTTTCAAGGTCAATAACAAACCTTCAAGCTCAAGCTTATAGATTTAATTTGTGTTCAGAGAGAACAACCCATCTAAAATCTCCCCATAACTCCTCAGCCAAAACCCATTTGAAAACAACTCGTGGAAATTTTGGACCATTTTATGTGGAACTGTGTGCATTATATGTGAAGATTTTATATCATTTATTAAACCACAAAAACTATATTTTGGCCCTTATCAACTCTTTTATTGGACAGACTGCCTTTGTTGTTACTGTTGTGCCAGTAAAAGTTCCTTTACGGGCAATTCTTCAACGACCAATGATTTGAGACCATATTGTCCAGAAACTGCTGCCCGGGAGGCTGTCAGCTGTATCTTTTTAGTCTCACTTCTACTTTTATACAGGGCCTAGACAAAATTTGTCTCAGTTTACAGTACACATAAGTTCTGTGGCCTCCAAGTACCCAATCAGTGCAACCACAAAGCCATAACTCCATCTCTGGTGATAATGTCTCTGGTTTATTCAAGAATGCATAAGCTCACATCTCTGTCCCTGTTTATGGGCATGTGCTTTCCAGACGAGAGGGTGAAATCTTTAGAGTCGTGGCCATGTATTTGAGGTTGAAAACACTATTTGTGGGTCTGACATAGCATAAGGGAGGATCTGCTCAGAGGTGTTGAGCAGTCTTTAATGCACAGGATATTCGTGAATAAAGATTTTGGGGGTGAACACCCAAAAAAATGCACATCTTTAGACACTGATTTCACATGCTGAGCGGGGCAGAAAACTGTGGTCAGTTTTCACTATTTTTATCTGCAGTAGAAAATAGCTATGAATGAAAACTGCCAAATGCAAACGAAATCCCATTCAGCTCCATTGTACTGTGCTGGCAGCAGAAGTCCCTGTAGCAGATAACTCAAAACCTTGCCAGACACCACAAGGGGTAAGTGGGAAAATATGTTTTTTGGGGGGATTTGGATGAACTGACCATTTAAGTTTGCCTCAGGGTACATCATTAAGTAAAATTTCCAAGAAATAAAAGCAATCTCGTTTTTTTTATTTATTCATCGTTTAACAGCTGTATGAAAAGTCATTTTTCTTAATGGTGACGTTGCTCTATGAAGCAATAAAACAAGTGCAAAACCCTGCATGGGGCCGAAGAGGCTAAATGGGAGAAATAAACAACAAAATCTCTTCCCTGTAACTACTGTTGAGCTGCCCATGGAGTAGGCTAGAGGTCGGCAAACCTTTTTTAACCATTATTGGCCAAAAAGAGTGAAAAAAATAAACCACATTTGAGGCTTACAATGCTAATTTCTTGCCATGGATCAAGCAAAAGCCAGCAGTGTTACTGTGGAAAGCAAACAAATCTGTACACGCACTATTAAATTCTCTGTTTTTCCTCTGAGACTCATAGCCACGGCTATTGAGAGTCAACAAAACAGAGTGTTAAAGGCGCCAGGTCAGTAATTTAGTTGACAAAATGTAAAAAAACCCAGCATTATTTGGTGTGTTATGGCCAGGGTGCGAACTACAGGGGAGTCATGTGGAGATGAGCTCCTCTTCATAGGACATAAGACTTTTTTGGGGGGGATCTTTGCAACCTCAAATGTCTGATTTCACAACAACCTTTCGATTGCTATACATGCTGTAATGGTTTTAGGCATTTTTAAGCTATGTAACTGCAGGAAAAGGTGAAATAATGCATTAAAAATTAAAGGCAACTTGTTACAGTGAGAATAAAATCAACAACTTCAACACCAGAAACGAGGAGGTTTGGTGACGTATGACTCAACATTAAGTGCAGGAAACTACAATTGGTCAAATTTATGAAAAAAGTTGCAGTGATTATGTGGAGCTGCCATGTATTTCTATTTTCTTAATATCTTATATTTATCTATCAAAGCCACTAGTTACACACATTTACTCCCACATTAATACTTTTCCCAGAATGAATGAATGAATGAATGAATGAATGAATAAATATATGGGATGCAACACTCACCCCTCTCTCATGCTCCCAGGGCTTGTTAGCGAGGATATTGGGCTGTTGGCGTCAAAGTTTCCCTCCAAGCTTTGATACCTGGCGCAGGTGTCTGCTGATGGAGGGAGAAACTCAGAATTTCCCCTGTTGTGGACGGTGCTGCTGTTTGAGTACACGCCTGAAAGAGAGACATAGATTCAGTAAAATATTACTTCACTGAACATCTTGAGTATCCACCAGGCCTGAAAGGTAGCTCCTTGTTTGGAAGTGTGTACAGTTACAGTTTTATAGAAAAAGTACCAGAAACGTCCAACCTGATACTGCAGCATATTCTCTGAGCTGTCTGTCCTTATGCTCAGTTTGTTCCAAACACTAAAACTTACATGGACATAAGAGAAGTAGATAATGTTGTATGAGTGGTTTGAAAAGTTTCTACCACTGTAACAGTTCAAATGATAAAAAAAAGCTACAAATCCAAAAAGCTGGGAATAGTTACAAGTAATTACAACATGTCAATTAATGTCCTGTTTATCAGCTAATCTATTAATAAACTACATAGTTTCAGCCATACATATAGAAATGTTTCTATATCTATGGTTTCAGCACAAAATATAAACCTTTTCATTAAAAGCTAATGGCTAAGCAGCTAACTGTGCTAGCAGGAATCAGCTGATTTCCACCAGTTTAGCTTATTTTTTGCATAAATAGAAGCATTTTAAACACAGGTTAGAGTTTTATGGACATTTTCAATATTTACAGTAAAAACGACCACCACTAAAATCTATTATAACAGTTTAAATCCAAGCTGAATACATCTACAATCCCCTGCCAAGGAACAAGCTACAACATTTTCAGACACTTTTCAGGCCTACAGGGGTGTTTGATATTGAAAACATAGTTTTTAGTGGTGTTCATTTAAAGCCGTAACAAAAATACCTGCTTGCCATCAGCAGGGCTTTCAACACTTGGCTTTGGCTTTAAGGGTAGCTGATGATGATAGTATATGTCACCATAAATCCAGTATACATACAGTAATGTAAACACTCAGGTATATACTTAACAGTCAGAAAGTTGTATTCTGGCTGACATTTGGCCATTTCTGATAAGGAGAAAGTCCTCTTGGGACATTTTCAAAATTAAACACTGACAAGCTTGTTTCACCCTGAATAAACATAGCTGGTGCTGTGCCGTTTGAGGCTTTTCCCTCAAAGTCTTCTGGGTAAAGCTGCAAGTAGTCTGAAGTAATAGACATGGACAGCTCTCCTGGACACTCTCTCCTCTCTTTTGCCAACTGAGCCTCAGTGTACCTGACAGCTTCTTGATCCCGGTTCAGCCATTGAAAGGGAAAGAAAAAGAGTTTGGCTGGAAAACCAGGTTTTGGAGAAGCTGAAGGATGGGCGGGGAGAGGGCCAACATGCCCGCAGTCAGTGCCCGGTAATTGGACAAGGTAAACACTGGCATGATGAGCTATCATCGAAGGAATGGGAGAGGAGGGAGAGGAAAAGGAGCAAATGAGGCCATGGGAGAAAATGAAAGAGACAGCTTAACAGCCCAGGTGTTTGGGCAATTACCCTTTTCTTTGTTTTTACTCCTTTCCAGAGAGGTGTCGGAGGCTAAACTGATCCAAAATCCAAAATGCTTTTGCTACCGTTTCATCTGTGCATACCTGTGAAGTCATCCAAGCCTGGTAGAGGTGAACTGTTTCCTTGGTGGGAAGAGGCAGAGCTGTGGAGGTGTTGCCTCTCCAGGCAATCGCTCAAAATGTCCGATTCCAGCATCGTGTGCACTTGGACCTGCCGGACAGACAAAATAAAGATATAGACAAGTGCAAGATAAAGGTATGTTGTTGTACATTTGGCAGTGCTGTAGTTCAAGTCCAAGGACTAGTCAAGACTGAGTTCAAATGAGAGAGATGGGCGTATTGATTGGTTGCCTGGTATAGTTATCAGGTGGCCAAAGCCAAAAGATTAATTTTAAATTAAACCAATATCTGTTTTCTGAACAAACGCTCTTGTTTTGAAGGAGGAAGTTACTTTCTATTTACTTCTATCTACTTACTATTTCTGGACTAGGATATTTGGCGAGAAGAAGAACGGTGCAAGTCCAAAGACAAGTCCTAGCGCGAGAGGCCCGAGACCTTCGACTTCTACAGCACTGACATTTGGTATTATTATGTTTTCATGATGGTGAGCGTGTGTGGTTGCCTGCCTGCACGTACGGATGAGAGTAATTATGTTAAAGCTGCAGCTTAGTCGCATCCAATTGTGTTTTGCTGTTGGGCAATACAACTCCCGTGGAGCTAAACTCTGAAAGGATTCACTTTCTCCTTTGATTACATACAGTAGATCAATTGAAAACACAGTGAGTTTTCCGCAGGCACTTTTCTACTGTTCATTTTTCAAAGAAATGATGCTTGAACCAGATGCCTGGTTCTTGTTTCGTCTTTGCGATCCAGCTTCTCGAGGTACAAAATCCAGGAATCTTGTTAGGCAATCTTAATTTAAAATGTTCTAACAAAGTTAAGGCAAGACAATTTATTTTATTATCCAGCGTTAACAGAGCATCCCCCAGGACTTTCCAAAACAATTTACTGACAGCTCCAGGACTCAGAAGAAGCCCGCGAAGGATACCCAGGAACCACAAAAGAAGTATGAATAATCAGCAAAAAATGTTCGCCCAAACCAGTGTTTATGAAGATACAAACTTCAATAGCTGTGACACATCAGCTCGAAGAAATGTACAACCGTGAGGAGTTTATGAAGTACATGTTTAATATTTCAAAGTCATATTTAGCCCCACAGGGTTTACTGCAGCGCAGGGCGTGTTAGCCATGTCACAACTTACAAGCACACGTGGTTCTGTTTAAACCAAACAAGGCATGGGAATACACACAAAGCCCCAGTGTCACTCACGGTCCATAGAAAACAAACAAGGCCCAGATAACGCCGAACAATAGGCTCCCTATTCTGACTTCCAGGGAGTGTGTGTAATACTTTGTTTTGTTGTATTTCATCCTACTGAATCATAAACATGCTTACTCTCTCTCCCTCCTCCTCCTCCTGAAAAGAGAAACAGGGTGCTACCTAGAACCACTGACCCATCTCACTTAAGATCAACTCTAAAAGGGGGAATAAACTTGTTTACTGTGTTTACTATATACCACCAGACTAAATGAAGAGGAAATACAAATGTAAATAAAGTGAATTAATACTGTTCCTTTGAGAGTGTTTATGTGTTCTTCCTCTCTGTCTTAGTCCTGACTTTTGCTCTAGTCCACACACAGTTGTGTTCTTCATCTGTGATATCTGACACATATTAACTAATTATTGTAAAAAATCCTCTTTATTTATCGTTTTTTAAAATATATTCTGTAGCTAAAATATCAGAGTTTGAGAAACTGGCACTGAGGTAGACTATATTTTATATCTGTTTTAAATATATATATTTTTTACGCCATATGTTGTTCTTCAAATGGCATCAATTCTTTATCTAGTTGTTTCAATACTAATATAGTAACTATTTATGCAGTATCAATCCGATACCACATATTTTATTAACCCAGAAACTGGACCCTGCTACTTCACATCCCTCCCAAACCCCTTTTCTTCTTTTCCTTCACTCCATCTTAAAAAACTAAGACAAGACAGCTCCCCCACTCAGAGTCTCGCCTCCTTCACGGTTCCCTCCAGCCGACACAGTCCATCTCCAAACTCCTACATCCATCCGTCCCCCATTTCTACCTTCATCCTGCGACCCCTCGACCCCCAGCCTTTCATCCCTTTATCCCTGCTACATTATCTCTGTTCACCTTCACCCATTATATTACAACAAACTATTTTAATTCCATATCCTCATTGTCGTGGTTGAATGTTGTTAGTGGCTGTTGTTACCTTGACCTCCCTCTCCTGAAGGCCTTTGGCCGAATGAGCTTTGACGTGCTTCCGTAGCGAGCTGGGATCGGTGTAGCGTTTGGTGCATCCTGGGATCTGACAGGCGTACGGCTTCTGTGAATGAACCACGACAAGAAGAGGTGAGTAAGAAAAAAAGGAGAGAAAACCTGTGAGAAGAAGGAAATACTGTAGTGTACTACGTGACGTTTGTTTTCATGTTCCAAAAATAAGACTTACAACGTCCAAAACATGACACTTCTGTCTCTGTATCCCTCCACAGATACTTACATGTGCACTGTTTTATATATATGACCCACAAACTGGACATTTACTGTTATATCTTCCATCAAGCTCAGTTTTAGCTGCTATAAAACAAGGTTGACAAGAAAGAAAACATGCCACCGAACAAGAAAACAGACCCTGAAACACACAAAACATCCATAGTGTTTATTTAAATTTATATTTTTTGAAGAATGTTTATTCATTTACAGTATTTTAGGTTCCTGGTTGACAAAACACTACAGACTAAACCCTCTATTAGATACTGTCATAACACTTACCGCATGTTATGGCTCATATAAACACACTGGATATGAGGTCAAACACCAAATATGTGTTTACAAATAATAGAAGTTTAGTTAAGTTACATCCAGATGGTTTACAGGTGTGATACAGTATACAGTAGTCCGGTGTATTATACACAAACATTTAGGATAAATTCAGTAAATGTGGTTACTTAGCGTGACATCTGCACTAACAGAGAGAGGAAGGACATGCAGATTATGTCAACATTTTACGTAATGTACTCCTCAACTGGAAATGGAGTATATTTACCTTTCGTCTGCAGGCTTAAGGAGGAAGAGAGAGGATAGTTAAGAGGAACAGTGTAGAGATATACTGTGCAGCCATAAATCAGTTACTGTAGATCTTCATCAAGGAATTATTTCAGCAGGTATTTTTATAGGTGGAGTTAACCTTTTCATAGCAAAGGATTGTGAGTCAAAGAAAACATTATTTATGTATAGAATAGAGTTTCTTCACCAGGTAAAATAAAGCTGCAATCCTTTCAAAATAAAAGACATCCTAAAGGAACATGCTTTGAGATGTGGTTGTAAAAAAAAAGTCTTGGGAGGGAAAAAAAACATCACACAAATTTCTTCTCTTGGATTTATTGCGGTGCTGTCGCCTGTATTTCACAATTTTATCAAAGTTTTAAGTTTAGATGAGTAAATGAGCCCATTTCCATGAATCTAATTCCTTCCAGGTCCCTTGTTTCATTATTGAGTGTTTAACCAGGTGGAGTGAATTAGGTCTTCATGAAAACAGATGTACAGTATTTAGTTAAATCTTGTAAGTTTATGTACCAGAATCTAAGCATGGCAAGTAAAGAAATAATGACCTGTATAGTTGTAAGAGCAGTGCAGAAGATCATATTTTGCTGTTTATTTAATTAATAAGAGCTCAAACATTCAGAGACTTGGTGGGTTTAAATACAGCACAAACAATAGGTCGAACTACCAACGTAGTATCCAAAAGTTGTAAAAGAAGACAACATGCATGTTCAAGTTCAACAGTTATAGTGAGGAACTGAAAATGTTTAGAACAATGTTTTGTAATTTCAACAAATATATGATAAGAATGGAAAGATGGCATTAGTATGGTGGTGATAGAGTTTTGTAAAAAGGGAAGATAAAGCTGTAGCATCACCTTTTATCTTTTTGGCTGCATTATTTCTATTCTACTGTTTTGTTGGGAGTGATTGTTATTCTGTCTCTTTGTTTCTTTGTTTCTTTTTTTATCCCACAATGCTTGTGTAATTATCTGCAGACAGAAATAAATACATTTCAAATTTCAGACGTGCAATTACACTATCATCTCGATCTGGCATCGGAGTAAATACTCCTCTACAGTGCCTAAACATTACATGCTAGAAAGAAAAAAAAATTGGGCAATATCTTGCTGTTATGAAACAGAACAATATTCCCTGTGAGGCGAACTCAGAGCCTCCTCAGTCTAAAAGGACGAAGTCTACATGAAGTGTTGAACTCTACTGTGCTTGTATGCTTACATAAAATGTCAACAGTGATTGCATGCGTAGCACTTACTGTATGTCAGCCGGGGACAGAAATTAATGAATGTACACTCCAGTGTGCTATAATGCGTCCAAACTATACAAATATTGAAATGCATTAATCAACAGGGCTTAAACAAAGCTTTTCCTGTTTGATGTTGCAATTCAAGATGCTTTAACTAACCGATGTGACAAACCAGTCAAAGCCAAACAGAAAACAGCTCAATTCTGTGTTTCATTTATTTTAATTGGCCAATTATCATTTCACCATTGATCGGTCCTGTTGATTTTCAACATTTGCTGACTTATCTTTATCTAGAAAATCAGCAGTGGGATGTAAGTACTTTACTTTAGTCTTTTCTTTTCACGCCACTTGCTCAACTACATCTCAGAAGTAAATAATGTAATTTCTACTTCACTACATTTATCTGACAGCTTTAGTTACTTCACAGAAGAGCTTATATAATATGATGTTCTTTGTAAATGAAACAATTAGTCCTCTCAAATTTGAGAATGAGCTGCTTTTCCTTTTAATTAGTTTGATAAGTATGAGCTTTGGACTCTTGGTTGAACAAAACAAGGAGTGTGAAGGTGTCACTTTCTTTTTACAAATGTGAGAATATAATCAGCAGATTAATCCATAATAAAAAATAAATAAATAAATAAATATATATATATATATAAGTTTAACAGTCGCAGGGGACATTCACATTCTCAAGATCAACTTTGTGTTCAGTATTTTGCTCAAGGACACCTGAGGAGGCAGGGATCAAACTACAAACATTTGGATGAGCAAAATGCCCATTTTACCTCCTGACCAATAGTTGCCCCAAGTCACAGCTAGAAGGGTCTAATAGTAACACTGAAAGATAACCCAAGAATGTGGAAGGACGACACATTCAAGAGCTCATGGAGGTAACACAGGTATAGAGAAGACATATCTACAAGTGTATACGTTCTGTATAATGTGAGCACATAGATACACTTATCTACCAGGAGTGGGGTTCGAACCCACGTGGGCATTCACCCATTGGATCTTAAGTCCAACGCCTTAACCACTCGGCCATCCTGGTTGCACATCTCAACACTTTAAGTACATTTTATGGATTCCACCCAGATACAGACTACTAGCACTTTACTAGTGGAGTATTTTTACAGTGTGGTATTAGCACTTTAACTATCAAAGGGCCTGAATACTTCTTCGACCATTGACTCTAACATATCAGGCAGAAACTGGTGTGAGGTAGCTGCTTATACTGATTCAAAAAATCAAAAACTTTGCTAATTTTTCAGTTTATGTGAGCTGCAAATTTTAGTTGAGACGCATGAATGAGACTAACCTCCTTTTGGAAACAAATCTTTCATAACACACAATTATTTATTTATATTGGTAACACAATACAAGTTATTTAGTCAGACTTAAATAACTTGTATTGACACCAGTCTTTTCCTGGCTGGTTGTTACACTATATTCAGCACTTATATACATTTAGACAGTTCCCCACTGGGCCTCAGTGATGGCGCCAGATGTGTCTGATTCTTGATTTGTGACGCAACTGCGAAAGCCGCTATTAGCCAGCGTGAAACCACAAAAAGGAGAAAATAACTTTCTCCTCTTGTTGTAATAACACTGGAGTGCAACATACAGCTCCATCTCACCCGTGTAATAAGAGATCTGATTCGCTGGATTACTGCTAAGTCCTCATCGCTTGTCAGCAGGAGTAAAAATAACTGTGGTTTATAGAATAAATCCACAGCAGGTATGCAGTTTCACAACCCTAAAGAATGTTCAGACTTTATATATCAGGCAACTATGCAGAAAGAGAAGGAAAGAGGGGAGCAGTGGCACTTTAAATTAAAGTGATTTTATGTGTGTTAAGTGCACCACACGTATCCCATATTACCTATAGCAAATATTGTATATCATAAAGAAATATTTAACACCTAGAGGAGAGTGAGGTTATACCCTACAGCTCATTTCAGACTGGGAATATGTGACATGTCTGGCTGCATCTATATGTTAAAGCAACAGCGTTTTGACATATTTTTACATAAATGTTCCAAATGACTTTACGCAGACATGAACAGTGATGGAAGAAATTCAGATCCATTAGCATTGCATTTTTTAAAACAGCATCTGACTCCCAAATCTAAGCAACAGTGACCACAGATGTCGTCTTTCTATCGTACTTTCGTATCAAAATCCTACATTACAATGTAACACCACTGCAACAATTCAGACGGAGATTCAGTTATGTAATGCGAGTAGCGGCTAATGTAGCCTGGAGCAGCTAGCCTCGAGGTCTGGTAACCACACTTCTTTCTAACTCCACACCCCTAATTCTTTTTTCTCTGCAAAACCTCTAAATGGACTTTAATGTGTTAAATCAGTGGGGTTCCCCTTTAAGTAAAAGCAGCAATAGAACAATGTAAAAAATACTAAATTACAAGTAAAAGTCCTGCATTACTTCCTAAATGTTTGAGTTTTTAAAGGACAGGTCCATACATTTCCAAATCTGTCTTTGTTCGGTGATGTGGGACAATAACAGAGCTTATCTGAAGGTAATATGAGGCTTCGGCAGTCTGAGTCAGATACATCGAGGGGGTATCTTTCAAAGTTACAGCCTATTTAGTCTATTATGTTTCCACTGTTGCTCAACGAGGTGACACAAAGAGGGAATTTTATACAGAAAAACTGTAACCTGAATGATTACAGCAAGAAAACCCTGTTTCTATGTTCACATGAGCACCTGACTCAAGACAGTGAACCTAACAATGTCAAATCAAATATAAAAGTAAAATCACAGAGTGTTCAATTATTATATATATTATAGGATATAAGTACATTAACATGTAAGCAACATTTAAATATTGTAGTAGACCCAGATGGACCTAATTCTTATTATTTTATATACTTGTGGATAACTTTTTCATGTAAAATCCAAATCTTCAAAATAACTCATTACAGCTGTCAAACAAATGTGGTAAAGTAAAAACTGTAATATTTGCTTCTGAAGTAAAGTAGAAGTATAAAACATCATGAAATGGAAATAAAATACTAAGTACCTAAAAAATTGTATTCAATCAGAGAACTTGAACTGGACATAAAAGGTCCTTCATGAATAGAGCCACAATGCTGGCGCTACATCTGGCACCTGGTACACAAGAGGGAGCAATGGTGATTTTAAGAGTTTGGATAAGAAGAGTGTTTTCTGTTTTCTCTCAGGCTGCATTAGCGGTCGATTTCATAACTTCTTTCGCCGTTGAAACCTTAAATTTATGACTCTCGCCCCCGCTTCTCTGAATCCCCTGATAAATTTCAGTTTCATCATTTAAGGTTATTAAATGGGGAATTCTGCTGCCTGTTTTATAAAGTTTGACAAGATGTTGAGTTGAGACCCTTAATTTATGTTGATTTTGCTCACACGCTGTATGAACGTCTCTTTGATTTCTGATATTCATTCATTCACGCAGTTGGCATGAGCGACAGCTGAAATTTGCTGTTTTGAATGAATAAATGGGACCCTTGTGAGGGAGAGAGGGAGAATGACTTAAAAAAGGCTCATTTACTGTGTTTCGAGGTATATTTTCCTCTATTTTATTGTCATTGTACATTAAATATGTCAATTAAGTGATGCATTTATTACTGTGGTCTTAACCAGGCAATAAGAAGACATTTAATCTCTCTGTCTCTGCATGTTTTACTAAGTGCTCTCGCTGTCTTTATATTAATCTGGCGGCAAAAAACTTGTTTAAGGTGGTTTGATCTACATAAAAGTGTCTAATTCAGACAAGAGAGAGTCTGAATGTGGCTCAAAGTTAGCTTTTTTTTAAGATGTTTCACTCACAAATATGGAGTGTGAATGTGTGTTTTGAATGTAAAAGTGTAATCATTAATACAGGTGTAGCGTGAATGGCGCCGTGTTGCTCGTGCACTGACCGTGTCCAGGTGCGTGCGCTGGTGTTTGGCGCGGTCGCTGGAGTTGCTGAAGGCCTTGAGGCAGCCGGGATGCTGGCAGATGTACGGTTTCTCCCCCGTGTGGCTCCTCAGGTGGATCTTCAGGTTCTCCAGACGTGAGAACGCCTTGGTGCAGCCCTCAAACTGACATGGAGAAATAAAAAACATCACACGTCCACCATTTTAATAAAGTGATAATAATCTATATAAAAGTTTAATGTTTTTGGTTGAAGTTAATTTGAAACAGACTTAAAGCAGCTGTAATCAGTATTTTTATCAATGTGTATCAAATGAGTATGACCTTCAAGTAATTTAATTATTGCTATTACTCACAGACATCAGAACTTTTATCCTCTCATGCAAATCAAACACGAATCCCGTTTGTACCTTCAATAAAATATGTTGGCCTGTAACTAACACGCAATAAAATCACATTTTCACATCACAGATGAGTTTAAGGCTGACCCAACAGAAATAACCAGTAAGAGGTAACACATATATAATCATACATTATAGGTTATTGAATCATAAACTTCAGGTAATAGCCTTCTCCTAAATACCAATTTAGAACAAAACCACACACACACACACACACACACACACACACACATATACACACACACTTACACAGTTCCTGTGTTGGACATGAGCCAAACAAGAAGCAAACATCAGAGTCAGCAGGCTACAAATTGCAGACCATAAACCTGCAGCCTGTTGCAGCTGTGTGTAAGTTCCAGTGATAATGTAAATTAATACTAAGTTGTGATTTATGCATTACCAAAATAAAAGCGGTTGCACCACAGAGAGACGTTACAACTTAACTCTTAAGTAACAACTAAGGTGGTGTAAAACATAAAATATCACAGAATTATACTCACTGATGGTGATTTCAGCCATTTTATGACACACTATGTGATATTTCAATATTGATCTCCTGCCAGATGGACAGCTAATGCACACGGTAACCATGGCAATGGAACTTTGATCGTTTGATTTGTCATTTGCCTTTGATTGGATTTTACGTCCAAACTAGTTAAGTTATGCCTCAGGTAATCGTGGTGCAACCAATTTTAGTAGCTGATTTAGTTACAAACTAACTAGTAGTTACTTTAGGGTCGACTTTACACCCTAACTTAGGAGAAACTGGTGAAACACAGTCCAGAGCTTTAGAACTTTATAACAGAAACGGTGTCACATTCAATCTTAAACCTTAAAGTTAAACGTCCAGGAGCACACAAAAGGAGTTGGAGAACACAAGGACCCCCCACAACAGATGCACATTAGACCACAGACACACACTTTCAGGAGGATTTTGTCTTATAAGAAATCCCCTCTGAGTATTTGTTTTATTTTCAGGGTTTAAGATAAGCAATAGTCAATCAATGATCAAACTGGGAGCATTATAAATAACATTAAAAAAACACAGCCAACCCTATTCTTTCCCTTGCACCAATTAAATGTGATAAAAGTTCAAATATGGGGACCCCTTACAACCCACTCAAGGACCGTCGTTGGTCAGTTTGAAAACCACTGATTTACACGATCACAGGAGACAATTTTTAACAATTTTCACAAATCTTCTCACGTGGTAAATCCAACAGATTTTAAATTTAGTGCGATAATAGCGTTTAATAAAGGGTAACATCGCATTTAAATAAGATTAATGGCCCGTGTATTTTAGAGATATTAAAACCTTTTATTCACGTACGTATTTGTTTCTGTAAAAGATGTTTTAAAAATCTTAAAATGAGTTCCTGATTCTTTCACTAACACACAAGAATAAAGTGTTTGATCCTTCTTAAACTAATCCAGAGGGAAATATGGAAACAGTTTTTCTACCTAATATTCATTCCAGGGGTTTTATTAGGTCTTACTAATGAGTCAGTAAATGTCAATCACCTCATTTAGTTTAATAAGTCTGTGCATAAAAAAAACACTACATCATGGTCATTAATTAATCCAAGGCTTTAAATTGACTCAATAAAAAACAAAAACAAACGAAAAGCAACCCATAATCATAATCAATCACGTAGGAATACACATCAACAGATATTAGTGAATGGACTAATATTAACGGATGGATTAAGACTCTTCATGTCGTGGGAAACTGAAGACATCGCATGTTGCAGCTTTATGTGAATCAAGCTGTGAGGAAAAGCATCAGTTTGAGTTGTTTGAAAGGAGGAAACTCTTAATGCCCCTTTAGTCTTGCTTGTGAATTTACCCCATGGCTACTGTAGTTAAAATGTTTTTCTTTTATCAAACAAATGTAACCCTACCCATATGAATACATACGGCTCCTAAATAGAAACAGATTCCTAAAAGTCTTTGACAGAGTAGAAATCTGAGTGCAGCTTTATTTCAACTCTGTTACAGTTTATGTGCTTTATTTCCTCGTCCATGACAGCATGTGTCTTTTTAATGTCTCTGTCTCCAGAAGAATGTTTTCCATTTAACTTTTAAAGAAGTTACGGTTTATCCTATATTTAGTTTGTTATTCCTTAAAATCAGTACTGTCATTTTCATGTGTCGCGTTTAATCATTTGATTTTTAAATGTGTGTACTTAAAGGGGATAAGGCTGGCAATTTATGGCTGGAAATCTATATTTTTCTTTCGAAACTTACTGACTTCCCTGTCTGCGGCTCTGAGCTCCAAGCCAATTGGTTCCTACTGAAGACAAATATGTTTTAAATATTGGATCACGAATGTATAGTTTCATTTAAAAAAAAAAAAGGTTCAGTCATTTCCTAAAACAGCTGGTCACAGTGGGTTCTAGCAAACGTTACTCAAACAGGAGTAAATAGTGCATTTAACACGCTGCAGGTTTAAAGGACCAGTTGTAGGGATTTAGATGGCGATCTAACGCGGTTGTAGTTGCTGACTGCAGGCCACCCGCGGTTCACCATTCTGTTTCCAAGTATGTAGGAGAAACTAAAACACCAAAGGCAACATCTACAGTCTGGTCTGTCCCTTCATGGCTACAGTAGAGGAACAACAAGGTGGTCTCCGTGGATAAAAACGTCTCAAAAACACAACGATTCTTATTTTTAGTTCATTAGACACTAATGAAAACACACCTATGAATATTATATTCCATCAGATCCTCTTAAATGTCACACTGTGGACCGATGGTATACTGTGGTATGATAATTGACAGTTAAACTGCGCACATTTGCTTATCTACTGTATTGAATTCTACTGTATTAGTGTTACTATAAAAATATAGGGCATAATAGTATGTGAAATTATAATAAGGCAAAAAACAACAACTTGTGTTTTCATTTTTTTAAGGGTCATTGTACCTGATAATAACAATAACAATAATAAAAACCGTGTATTACCGTACTTTTTTTAAATTTCTGAGATTTTGTGAAACATATGTTGTTATGGGGCACTCGCTGAATCGACGGATACTCTTCTTGGGAGGACAGTTCCAACAATGTATGTGGAATCAAACTATAGTGCCCGTGTTCATTGTAAGTAACTGTAGGAATTGTAATGTTAGACAGTCAGTGGAGCTCTATGTAACAGAGGAATAAGATTTATCAGGTTTGGCCACACAGGCAATACTTGTTACTCGGCTCATTGCTGCTTTTCATGGGATTTGTTGACAGTCAGGAAAATATAAAATACCACCAGACTTATTCTTTAAATGTATCTACATATGAATGTCATTTCAGCACCATAAATTATGAATACCGACTCTACCACAGTGGACTTAAAAAAATGTTTTGGGAACTGTTTACAGCCTTAATACCACCTGTCTAATCTGAGCCTCGACATTATGAGCTGGTAAATACGGCTGAATTCATTAACAAACACTGACTACATTCATGTGAGATATTCATTTTCCATTGCAGCACTGGGAATGACTTAATTTACATGTTTTGGCCTGAGCGCTTTATGAAAATGAAATGACGTTATTCACGTTGTTCAAGTGTGACTAGTGATTTTTTTTTATATGTTGATGTTGATTTAATTTTATTAATCTGTTTGCAGGCGATTCTCCACAGTAATATATTTACAAGCTGGCAGCAGATTAGGTCATTTTAATGAACTAATTCACTTAAGTAAGAAGCGTGTCCCTAAGTGCAAATCTCTGAATGAATTATTAATCGGAGTCCCAGGTTGATGACAGCGGTTGAGTCGCTGGGGAATTACGGAGAGAGTTACTCACTCTCAGGGACAGGGATTTGGCACCGAACTGAAGGTCATCATGGGACGGACGTGTTCAAGCAGCAATAGTTGGGTTTCAGAAAATGACTCATGACAGTGAAGTGATGCAGGATGACGTTGTGCTGGGGCTCAAAGGCCACTGTTGTGAGGGTCAATGCAGAAACCTCCGTCTCTTCCTCGACCTAACGTGGTCTGGTTTGTTGTTATCTTATCTTACAGTGCTTCTTTTGATGTATTCTGTCATTTTGAGTTTATAGTGCATCATCTTTATGAACATAAAAAGTCTGCACATTTTAAAAGACAAGTTTCTAAGAAGTGGAAAGGCAGGAAGAGGTTTTTTTTGTGGGCACATAACAGAAGTTCTACAGGAGTGAATGAATTATCTGCTTATTATATCATACTATAATATCCTTTTCTACTTACAGCTATAATCCTAAAATAAGGTTTTCATTAAATCAAACCCAATTTTTGATCAGTCATTTCCTCTCTCAGTGGCCACTTTATTGGGTACATCTGTTCAGTATCATGCAATCCAATACAAAACAATTCACACCTCTCCACATAACGCAGCCCAATACACCACCTTTAACATTATAATGCATTATAAACTTCATAAATGTAGTATTAGTGGAAGATATGTTGTAAATAAATTGTAGCAGATTGTACAGGTGTACTTAATAAAGAGGCCACTGAGTGTTTTCACTGTCCACCATTCCCACACTGGATTACAGTTGCCAAACCCAATTTGAGAATGCCTCATGAAGATCTTTGTTAGATTGAAATGTTGCTCAATTAAAATGGCTGGGAGTTATTAGCACAATGTGCAAATGTTTTGTCTGATTCTTGCCTTACAATTGCTTTCACACACACACAATCAATATCCACCATCGGAGTGTTCAATTCAATCAATTTCTGCAGCTGCTTCACATTAAACACATTCAACTGGCGAAACATGAAGCAGCTTTAATTGTGACACACTGAAACAGGACATGTAATGTATTGTTGTCATTGCGGTTAGCACTAATCACAATCATTGATCAACTGTCATTTGGGGGATTTTCTGATCAGTCTTAAATATTGCAGAAAGTAATAAAACAAGAAGGAGCCGCCACAGTGATCTGATCTGTTTCAGACAACAGGTTGCTTACATCCAACTCCTAAGAGGGTAGCAACTTTACTTAAAGACTATACGTACTGTACAGCAGCAGTAAATCCAAAATATTTTCACAAATATATATTATATTTTCACATTTTACAAAGAAAAGAAGCAAATCTTCAAATTTGTGACGAATTCTTTATTAAGTTGACGTGAGTTTGTTCTCTGACACTGTTGACCTGATGCACCAGTTGTTCCTCTTCTGTATTTCTGATGAAGTAGCTGCTCAAGAAGTGTTTGCTGCCCCGGGACTTCTGGGACTTCTGGGAACACTAGCCATTACCACGGTAACCTCGGCTGTCACCAAATCAACCAGGACTTAAGTATTAAAAACTTTACAAACAGCCTGCATGTTTCAGAAGACAAGTTGTTCAGCAACTTCAAAAGGCAGGAAAGAGTCTCTGTTTCTGCAGGAATTAATGATTTATCACCGAACATAAGAACTTCTCGATGAGTATAAATTCATTGCTTTTGTCAGAATAAAAAGCATGATCAGCTGTTTTTTTTAAATGGTTAGTGCTACAGACACATCCTCCATTCATTCAACACTGCCACGTTTCTCCCTCTGGCACGCATGAGTAAGGGAAACCTGTCGTGAGGAAAGGAAACCGTTTGATCATCTCTCTGTCTGAGCGAGTCTTGATCATCGGCTGCTCAGTCTGAGACAAAGTCGAGACGCACTGTAAGCAGGTTAATGCCTTTAAACCTCAGTTAAGTTTCTAAATGGCCCATTTTAAGGCAGCATTTAGTTGGAAAGGGTGATGTTTTGACTGAAAATGGTTGCAACAGTGGTGGTAGAGCGGAATAAATCAGGGGTAAAGTCAATGAAAAGTCATCACTGATGAGTCGCCCCATTAAAACTTGTGTGTGGACAACATTTCCAGCATACTTAACTGGACAATGAAAAGAGGAATTTATAAAATACCCTATAAGTTAATAAATTAATAGAACACATGCATGAAGTAATTTATAGATGCCTTAATAACCAGTGAATAGATTCATTAAAAGTGGGGGATTTGTAAATGTTTTATGAGGGAGCTCACACTTGTTATCACCTGGACTTGGGCTACTAGTGTGCACCCAAGTGGACAATTCATTTCTACCATCTTTGATGAACTTTCAGGGACTAAAAAGCAATATAATTTGCAATGTACAAACTTACAGTTTCTGTATTTTGCTCTATACCTTAAAGGTTTAAAGGTTTTTTTTAGTATACAGCATGGAGAAGTGCTACATACCACAGCATGAATACATAAGATAGTTTGAAATTCTTAAATTTAATCTAAATGGGCGTTCATACAAATATAAAAAACTCGACAAGAAAATAAAAACAAAACAGAGCAAAACACGAAACAATGATAACTCCAGAGAGAAACGATTGATTTCTCTCTTTTTCCACCAAACGGTGACATCAAGCTACCACTGATTATGACTGTGTTGGAAATTTGTATGTAATCTCATTGCGTGTCTCTGCTGAGCTGAATTGCAGATTAAAATGAGCAATTGTTTGTCATCTCTGGTTGTGTTAAATCCAACCAGATGAAAGCAAAGTGACTCACCATGCATTTATTGGGTTTTTCTCCAGAATGGACCCTCATGTGGATGAGCAGCTTGTAGCGAGCGTTGAAGGGTTTGTGGCGTCGCACGCAGCCGGCCCAGAAGCAGGAGAACTCTTCCCCTTTGCGCTGGTCGATGTGTACCTTCTCGATGTGCCTCACCAGCTCCTCCTGACTGCTGTAAGTGGCACTACAGTCGATCCAATGACAGGGCTGGTCCTGCTGGTCCACTGCGGGGTCCTGTCCTACAGGTCCGTTAAGCCTCGGGAAATGAAGCCGTGGGCTGTCCTGACCGTCGTGGCCTTGGAGGGGCTGGCCCACGTGGAACAGCTCCCCCTGCTGGTTGTTAATTTGAAACGGTTCCCTCTTACAGGGTGAGAAATCATCTGCAGGCTCTTGTTTGATTGAGTGATACTCTTCCTGTAGCTTTCGCTGCTGATGAGGAGTCTTGTTGCCCCCGGGTGCATCAGAAAGAGGCAAGGAAGAGGAAAAAAATAAAGATGAGGAGGAAGAGGAAGAGGAAATAGAGGATGGTGGAGAGCCAAAAGGAGGAGATGTGGCACAGTTGGTGAGCATATAGGATAAAGGCAGGGAGGGCTGAGGGTAACAACTGAACCTCTGGGTGTTGCTTTTAGGATCTGTGTGCGCTGTGGTGGCAAAGTCCTCCACAGTCTTTTCTATGTGGGATCCAGCTGTCTTACAGCTGAGCAGGGAGGTGAGGTCTCGGCCCAGCGAGGACAGGGACAGGGAAGTCCTTGGAAGACAGCAAACGCCCAGACCACCTGAATGTATCGATGACTGACAGAAGCCACCAGAAGACAGCGGCGCCTGAAGGTCCTCGGCATCTTCAAACACACTTCCAAAACCAGGAAGAGTCAGCTGGACGTCTGGAGGCCCGAGGTCAGGGGGCCACATCCTGGCCCCCGCTCGCTGACTTCCACCAAGAGATCCCTTCAGTAAAATGATGATTCTCTTGGAGCAGCTTTAGGAATCCATTGGAGGTAAAACCATTTACAGCATCTTTCAGTTATCAAATGTAATCAGATTAGATTGATTTTCAGCTGCTGGCATTGTCTCATTTCAACCCCAGCATGTGTAATCTTCTGTCATTTGTTCCAAACTGCTGCTCGGTCAGTCATCTGTCATGCACTGTGGGAGACAGAAACCAAACCCATATGAGTCATCTTAAAAGACAAAAAATATGAATACAAAACACTTTCTGAATCCTATCACATAACAGCTTCGTGCACCAGTGTTGGAAAAAGTACCCAGATTTTTTCCTTAATGGCTCTATGAGGAACTTTCATTTTGAGTTGATTCTGGTGCCCCCTGTGGACAAAAGTGGTAGTGTTTCCTCCACTTAGCTTCATTGATTTCAAGGGGAATCCAACCCAGTGGCAATCATTAGAAATAACTATATAGAAATAGTCAATCTTCATGTGATGGTCTTATTTGTTCTGTGTATCTGTAACTGTTCATGTGACTTTGCATTTTACTGTCGGAGCTGGCCGAGGTGGAGCCAGTTTAGTTCAGTCAGCCAACTCACGTTTGGAATGTTTATTAAGCAGTACAGCATATTTAGATTTTTGGCGTCTAGGCTCCGACCTCATCACTCCCCGCAGATATGATGCGTAAATACCTTAACCCCCAG